ACAGAAGTGAGCGACCTGGTCTGGTGGGTGGTCCGTGTGGCAAGCCAGTCCATATGGATGCTCTGCAAGTTGGGTTTTCAACAGGTCTGCATAAGGTACAGGATGATGGAAATGGTCCTCTTTACCACAGACCAGAATAATCAATTTCCGTGTTTCATGTTCAGAGTTGAAAATCAGCGGGCAACAGGAACAGATGTTCTGAACTGCGACTGACCACAGGGATGACTGTACACGTTCCAACTGTACACGTTTCACAAGGTGATTCAAAAGCTGTTGGAACAGAAGGTGGAATTGGTGTTGATACCATGCTTTTGGCCACCAAGAGCTTAATTCCAGGATCTGAAGAGATTGTTGACTGTGGACCTACCACTGGGAAAGGACATTGACACTAGGATTGGCACAACATCCTCTCCCAGCCCTCCTAAACCTAACAGCCTGGAGGTCGAGTGGAAACAGCTAGAAGAGTTGATTTACCCAGACAGGGGGACAGACACCATATTAGTTTTCTAGGAAGAGCTCCACAAATAGGGTGTATAACACAACCTGGTGGGTCCTTCACTCTTGGTGTTCAGAACATGATTGGGAACCATGAAATGCATCAGAGGCATCTTAGCTTTCTCCAAGATTATTTGGATAGAGGGCTAAGCATGAGTACATTAAAGTGACAGGTGGCAGCCATATTGGCAGTGATGGGGCTAGGAAAGGGAAGTCCCTTCAATTGCCATCCACACATTAAGAGATTCCTAAAGGGTTACAACATGGTCAAAACCACCACAAGGGCAGAGGTTTCTAACTTGGAACCTACATATGGTCCTGAGAGCATTGTGTAGAAAACCTTTGAACCCATGGAGTCTCAAGGAATTAACATTCAAGACCTTGTTTTTAGCAGACATAATATCAACTAGGCAAGCGTCTGAACTGAGGACCCGGTCAGTTGACAGGGAACTTCATGTCTTCCAAAATGATAGGGTGATGTTACGTTCAGATCAAGCCTTCATTCCCAAGGTTAATCCAGTTCCTTCGCATGTCAGAGATCATTGACTTACCTTCCTTTGTCTCTATTATAGGCATGACAAGGAAAGGGAATGGCTTTTCCTCAATGTCCGTAGGGTATTCAGTTTTTATGTTGACAGGCCAATTAGTGACATGATTCAGATACCCTCTTTGTTTCCATTAGGATATTTTCCTTAGGTCAACTGGTATTGCCTCTTACCTTGAGTAAGTGGTTTTAGGGGTGACATCATTGTTGCATGCAAGGCTCAGGGGCTGAATCCACCCAAAGGTGTTGCAGCATATTCTCTCTGGGGGGCTGCTACATCAGCAGCTTGCAGATCATTTCCCATCCTTGGAGACGGTAGGTACGGTGGCCACCTGGAAGTCTGTGCACTCTATAGAGTAGAGTGCTTTAGAGTAGAGAAGCTGACCTTGGCTGTGGCGGCCTTTCTTTGGGGTGTGCTGCAGCACACTCTATAACCAGAAGATGGATTTCCCACCCTGGGGCACACTACTATTTTATGTCCCAAGAGTAAGGACTGCCCCACTCCCAGGACCACCGGAGAATGGAAGATTTGTATCCACTTACTGTGAAGCTTCCTTCTCAGTGGTCCGGGAGTGGGGCAGTCCTACCCACCCAGTTTTGGGGGGCAGCTTCTGGAGGTTATTTTGGAGGAACATTTATGAAGTTTCTCTGAGACACTAAAACAAAATTTTTTGGGTTAATTGGGTGAGAGAGCGACAGAAGGTTTCAACCTTGGTCTACACCCGCTGGAGGGGCAAAAAGTTACAAGGCTGGTTGCCCCGAAAATCGAGTTTTACTATGGTGGGGAGAAGTGTTTTTTCCTTTCCTTAGTGTGATGTTAGGGGATGCACGGCTTGGAGACGACTGGGATGTTCCCAGGGGACAGGCCGGTCCCCTTCCTGGATTGATCTGAGAAAACCGACCCTGTTCCAGAGGGAGGAGCCTATTCCCAAGAGTAAGGACTGCCCCACTCCTGGACCACCGAGAAGGAAGCTTCACAGTAAGTGAATACAAATCTTCCATTCCCCCCCCCCTTCTGTCCTCTTTTTTGCTGTATTCAGCAATAATTGACACTCTGTTTGGTCTCTGCCTTCTCGGTATTTTATGGTATTTGGAGCTCCAGTTACAGCTGTAAACAAAATGTCAGCAGCATAATTTACTGTTTATGGTGGTTTTGCTGCAAGTCTAAAACCAAAGTGCATGAATAAGTTTTTGTAGGGTTAGATGACTTGTTACATAACACCTTGCAGGATGCTGATAAATAATGCAGATGAGTATTTCATTTGTGTGGGTTTTGTGTTTATTTCGTTGCAATTGTGTTTATTTCCTTGTATTATACAGACATTTGCTATATAATCATTCAAGCAGTCTTTCTGGGAGGGGGGGTTTCAAAAATTCATTCCTAATAGTTCCTGGTCACAGGGATATACAGCTTCTATGCATATGTCTATTGAGGAGGTGGGGCCAGCACCTGTAGTCATGAATGGGAGGTGGGACCAGCTCATTCCTTCTTCTCCTCTGTGCATTGGTCATATCTAAATTTGTCATAAATATAGGACTCACTTCTGAAGAACACATGCAAAAGAACATATGGGCACTATAGAACATAGGTAGACCAATTTGTACAATCAACATATTTGTTAGAAACTGTAAGTCATACTAGTGATATTTTCTACTGCCACCCTAGAAGTCAATGGGTTTAGATAGGCATAACTCTGCTTAAAATGATGGTATTAACATTTTGGCTTTAAAAAACTGTATTCCTGTATTGCCTTTATATGATTATTGGAAAGGAGGGTTCCATAAAAAATTTAAGCAAGTTAAAGTAAAAATCGACATTTGTGTATTGGAAATATATTTCTTCTTTTATTGTCTCCCATCCCACAAATTCCTTTTTCTTTTTTCTTTTCTTTTCTTTTTTTGGGGGGAGAACAAGTTATATTGAAAAATTATAGAACTAGAGTACTGTGAAGCAGAGCTAGGGTTGCCAGCAGGCTGCAGGGAAAAAAATGTCCTGCCCCTTTAATAGAGCTTTAATGTGGGGAAATGGGCAGCTAAAGCTTTCATGGCATGTAGGCAAGTACCATCACCTGGTAAATAACATTCCATAGAGCCTTAATTAAGGAGACTGGGCATTTTTTCCTCCAGGTTGTTGGCAGCCCTAGTTGGCATGTTAGTCAAATACTGTCATCATGGCTTGGCTGCAATAAAGTATCATATTAAGCCAAGAAAGTCCCTTATATTCGTGTTTTTCAAAAACATAAAGTATTTGTCAGCTGGAGGAGCCATTTGTTCCACTTGTCCTAGCCCTTCAGCAATCAAGACAACCTTAATAGCATAGCAAAGTTTCTCCCACTGGCTACTAAGGCCCTGTCCACACGAGGGGCTTTGGGCCGGATCGGGGCCGGAGCAAACGGGCGCGATCCCACTGCAACATCTGGTCGTGGTTCATCCACGACGGCCACATCAACGCCGGCCGTGGTATCACCGGCCCGTCTTTCTGCTGGCGCATCCCCGGCTCCTGCCTGAACTGCGCATGCTCAGACATGCGCAGTTCAGCAGTCTCCCGTTCCCCTCCGTCGCTTCCCCCGGCATCTGATCGTGCCGGGGAGGGAATGCACCACGGCTCAGGGGAACAATGTGATCCCGCCGCGGCGTGTTTTTTTTTGGTGCGGCTTTCAGAAGCCACGCTTCAGCCCGTCCCTTTCCGCCCCGTGTGGCAGGGGCCTAAGTATACTTATAGACTCCCCTCCCCATTTCTAGCAAACATATACATGGACTCAGAAGGATTTTGTAAGAAAATTCCGTTGTTCTCCTTGTCACAGTTAGTTTTCAAAACAGGGTAATTATTTCTATATAAACCTAGCACGATTTTCTGGTTTTGCCTTTCTTATTAAATATCTTTCTTGACATTGAGGTATAAGTTGTACAAAAATAGTATCTGGTTCTTTTGCCACTGCACAGATACTCTTGATTTTAAAATAGTACCCAGAAAATCACATCATAATAAGAACTTCCTTTGTTTAAAATAAAACTCATTGGGTTGTAGACTGCTCTTTCAGTTGAACTTGCACAAATCTCAGTGTGGTTTATTTAGGCTGGATCTAAATTAGCATTGAACACGAAGACCATGAGGGCTGCAGATTATTTATGTTGCCTGTAGCCAAGGCCAATAGTTGTTAATAAATTTAGTCTAAAAGCATCCCATGACCTCTTCTTACAGACATTGATGAATGTTCAACTGGGAGACACAGCTGTGCCAATGACACAGTTTGCTTTAACTTGGATGGTGGTTATGACTGCCGGTGCCCCCATGGGAAGAACTGCACAGGAGACTGCATCCATGAAGGCAAAATCAAACACAATGGGCAGATCTGGGTTTTAGAGAATGACCGGTGCTCTGTCTGCTCTTGCCAGGTGAGTCTGAGCAATGATTTCAAGGGGTAGGTACCATGGGAGAGGGAAGGATTGCTGTGAAAAGAGTGCAAAATGGAAAGGAATGTGGCTTAAGAGAAAGAGTTGCAGGTGGTATGAATTAACCATTGTTGCACATAGTGGGCATACTTACTTTTTTTTAGTCCATAGTTCACTTTATTTAAAAGGCTATTGTGGGCCTATATGATGTTGTTGTTTGCAGATAATTTTATTGATAATTTTTAACTTTTAATTGCATATAGAGCTTAGCAGCAGAAAAAACATTCTCCCTTTTACTGGGGTGGATCCTACCACTATCCTACCACTTCTTTAAGCAGAGTTTGTTTGTTTATTAAAATATTTATACCTCATCTTTACTTTTGACTGAAGTCTGAAGCCTTACTCCACTCTGAGGAGCCTTCCTCCAAATCAAGTAGCTCTCCATTTGGAGAACAAGCCATTTAAGTTGGAGGAAGGCAGAAGGAAGATTACTTGGAGGATAGTTCAGTTAAAGGAAGGAATGAATTGGTAATTGTGTATAGTAAAACAGCTGCATCAAAGAGTAGTTCCACCAGTCCATGGTCCTGTAAGATCTTGTGGGCATATATAGATAGCTTGCTTATAAATAGGGATGGGCACGAAACAGCTGACAAACTAAAGTTTGTCACGGGTTTTAGCTAATTCATGGTTTGTGAAGCAGTGTTTGTGAACTGAAGAACCACCATGCAGTTCATGGTGGTTCATGAAGAGCAGACAACTCAGCTGTTTGGTTTAAATGGTTCCCAGCCATTTAAACCACATCTTTCTGCTCCTTGCAAAAATCTACCCACCATTTCACCTCTTGCTTTCTGCTGTCTGTGGCTTTTCAAAGGAAGCAGAAATCAGTTGTTTAAATGGCCCCCTGCTTTTTGTTTCCTGTGGCTTTTCATGGTGAGCAGCAAACAGTGGGGAGCAGAAACCAAGAGGTAAACTTTAAATGGCTCGTGAACCAATATAAACTAGGTCAGTTCGCGAAGCAACCTTCCCATTCATATGGATTTGTGGTTCAGTTCATGGTTCAGCCATGGACCAAACTGCAAAAATGGGGTTTGTGTCCATCCCTACTTAGGCTGCGGTCTCACATACGGCAGTTCACACAGTTGGAAAGTGCACTGAAAGTGGATTGAAAGTGGATTATTTAGTGTGTGTGACCACAGCCTTATAATGCCTTCTCCATTCACATCAATAGATGAGACAATGTTGAGAACACACAGAACTATATTATGCATATACATCTGTCTCCATAACAGAAATTGCTGGGAAACTGAAGGCTGAACGATCCCCATTTACTCACAGAACTTAAAAGTTTCAATGTACAGGGAACCTCTCTTGTACTAGTTCTACTGAAATGAATGCCAGCATTTCTGAGTATCCTGTATTTATTTCAATGAGATTCCACGGGAGATACGTCTAGTGGATTATGTCTGACCTTTCTCCAGTTTGCAATGACTCAGGACTAGATTTATGTAATATTAAAGGATTGTGTTGTTTTAAAAGGGATCCATAATACCCAAATCCAAACACTTACTAGGCAATAGAAGTACTGATAGTTATTACACAACAGTTGCAGTTATGACTCATACCACCTGTAGGAGATTGAAGTTTAGGAACCCTAAAGTCCAATAACAATCTCTGAACATCTTTGGTAACATTCTTATTTCAATTATGTTTTTATCTTTAGTTGAAATCAGTTATATTGTCTGTCACACACTAAAGGGAAAAAACCTCTTAGGTTTATTTTCAACTAGCTCTGTTAATTTTTGAAATATTAAATAAAATATTTCCTGTTCACTTTCTCCAACATAAGTATGCAACTTGATTTTTGTTTTTATTATCATATGCTGCTGCTGTTTATTGCAATGGCAGAGTGGCTATGTAATGTGTCGGCGGATGGTCTGCGATTGTGAGAATCCCACTGTTGATCTGTTCTGCTGTCCTGAATGTGATCCAAGACTCAGTAGTCAATGTCTACATCAAAATGGGGAGATTTTATACAATAGTGGAGATACTTGGGTTCAGAATTGTCAACAGTGTCGATGTTTGGTAAGTCTTGTTATCACAGTATACAAATTGGCAAACATTTTGATAATTTCCCATTACTGCAATTGTATTTTTGTTCTTCAAGATATTTTTCATAATTTCTATAAGATATTTTTTCATCATTCCTCAAATGATCACAGGCCAAAAATGTCATACCTTTATTTTTAACCAAAGTTTTAAAATGTGTTGTTCATGAAAGATATTTGGTGCAATAGATGAAGTTTGTGAAAGTAGAGAAATCCTGGCGGTTTTTACTCACTGTGGCTGAAATTTGAAATAACTGGAAAATTGTACCCACTGCAAGAACCCATTCAAAATAATAATTCTTGGTCATGCTATAAAGAGAAAATTTACAAATTTAATATGTAGTTCAGACAAAGTAGGCACATTAAATAGGCCTATTGAAATCCATGGGACTGCACACTGTTCAGTGTGTAAGTCCCATAGAATTGCATAGTATTCATTAGTTGCCTTTGGGAGCTCCCAGAAAAGCATCCTTAGGAAAGCATCCTTTAGCACACTGCACAAATCTTGATTATGAAATTTCTGTTTATAATTTTGTGTTGAGACTACAACACTGGTGTTACTGTTATTATTTGTGTGTCTGTTGGTAATGGCCAAGTGTTAAAACAGTCTGAGCTTGGGCATGAAATCAGATTGTTGTTAGCACGTGGGCCAGGTTTCTAAAAGTCATAGGCCCAGTAGAGCAACCTATTCATTTCCAAGAAAAGGCTATGATTGTCTTACTAGTATAATTAACTATTATAAAGATTCACAACTACCAACATGATATTGATGCTCCTTGGTGTGTCTTTTTTAATAGCAGGGTGAAGTCGACTGTTGGCCCTTGCCTTGTCCAGAGACGGAGTGTGAATTCAGTGTACTCCCTGAGAATGAATGTTGCCCCCATTGTGTCACTGACCCCTGTCAAGCAGACACTATTAGGAATGATATCACCAAGACTTGTCTGGATGAAACTAACGTGGTTCGCTTCACTGGATCATCTTGGATTAAGCACGGCACAGAATGCACCCTCTGCCAGTGCAAGGTAGAATAAATATCAAGCCAAAGGAGCCCCTTTACAGCTGGTTTTCTTGTTTATAAATATTAATGTGTTTAGCCTAATAATTGGGATATCTTTTTCTACACTTGCGATACAAAACTTTCAGCTTTAACGTTAATGTCAGTCTTCTCTCCTTGGCAAGAAGAACAGTCAATAACCAGATGCATCAGTGGGACCGAATATTATAGGCCATGATCTATCTGACCTTGAAATAATTAGCAAACTTCTTCTTTTTATAGAAATATATTGGCTCAGCTGTGTTGGCTGATTTTGCAGTTATCAGGACTGTGCCATTTTGAAGATACTTAAAAATATCAAAGCTATAACCTTACCTCCCCACCCCAAACAGGGTATTTTCTGTCTAAGGAAGCAAGCTACTAAAAATAATATTAGTGCTTTGTGATGATCAAATGCTTTTATGTTCAGGAGTGGCAGGAATGGAAATTCAGGCATTTCTTTCCTGCTTTAAAGAGAAAGAAATAGAATCCACAAGATAATTTGGGTCTTTAGTATTCCTCAGGGTCAAGAAGAAACATTTATCTCAAGAAGAATGATAGATGGCATGATTCCTACAGCCTAAAAAAAGACATAAGGGAAAGGGCATTGGAAGAAATTGTTCCCATTTATAAATATACATATGTGGTAAATTGCATTTACTATTATTCCTACTGAAGTCAAAAGTAGTAATCCCTGCCTATAAACACACACACACAGAGCTGGTATCTATGAATAAAGGGAGCAGACTCAAACCTGGAGTCTACTCCTTCTAACAATTCCAAGAGCTTTATGTGGTCTTTTCACATTTATTGGAAATCTGTGACATTCAGTGGGATTTACTCCCAAGTGAGTATGCATAGAATTGCAATCTAAATATTTTAGTACAACAAGATTCTATAATTTTAGCTTTACAGTAAAGCTTTTGTGGCTGATTTTAAAAGAAAAGGCTGTGCCATAACATCTGGTTGTTTTGGTGCACTTGCTGTACTTTCAGGAGCCAATTTGGTGTAGTGGTTAAGTGTGCGGACTCTAATCTGGGAGAGCCAGGTTTGATTCCCCACTCCTCACACCTTGGGCAAGCCATAGTTCTGGCACAGCTGTTCTTGAAAAAGAACAGTTTCTGTCAGAGATCTCTCAGCCCCACCTACCTCACAGGATGTCTGTTGTGGGGAGGGGAGGGGAAAGGAGTTTGTAAGCTGCTCTGAGACTCCTTTGGGTAGTGAAGGGTGGGGCATAAATCCAATCCCTTCTCTTCTTCTTCTGTACTCTGGACGAGGCAGCTGTTAGGACAGAATATGGAGAAACAGAATGGTTTCCAGTTGGCAAAAGTGTCAGGCAAAGGTATCAGATAAAGTTGTGTTTTATCTCCCTGTCTGTTCAATATGTATGCAGAACATATCATAAGGAAAACTGGGTTAGATTTAGATGACGATGGAGTGAAAATTGGTGGAAGGAAAATATGTAGATAACACCACATTACTGGCAGAAAATAGTGAAGACTTGAAATAACTACTGATGAAGGTTAAAGCAGAAATTGCCAAAGCAGGATTATAGCTGAACACCAAGAAGACAAAAGTAATGACTACTGGGGAATTACACAACATTAAGGTTCAAAGTGAAGAAACTGAAATTGTTAAATATTTTCTATTCCTTGGCTCCATCATTAATCAAAAGGGAGACTGTACCCAAGAAATCAGAAGAACATTAAAGTTGGAAGGGCACCCATAAGGAAGGTAGAAAAGATCCTTAAGTGTAAGGATGCGTCACTGGCAATTGAGGTCAGGATAATTCATGCTTTAGTATTCTCCATTACTATGTATGGGTGTGAAAGTTGGACAATGAAGAAAGCTTATGGGAAGAATGTTGATGTTTGAAATGTGGTGTTAGATGAAAGTTTTACAGGTACCATTGACAGCCAAAAAGACAAATAAGTGTATCTAGTCAAGTCAAGCCAAGCCTGAACTCTCCCTAGAAGCTAAAAGAACTAAACTGAGGGTATTGTACTTTGGTCACATTATGAGAAGACAAGATGCAGTGGAAAAGACACTGATGCTATGAAGAGCTGAAGGGAGCAGGAAAAGAGGAAGACTCAACATGAGATCGATGGACTCAAGAAAGGAAGCCACAACCCTCAGTTTGCCAGACCTGGGCAAGGCTGTTAATGACAGGACATTTTGGAGTCATTAATTCATAGGGTCACCATCATTCAGAAGTGACTTGATGACACTTAACACACACACTTTTAGTTAGGTGAAGAGTCTCAGTTGCTTATATTGTAGACCTTTAGTTGAGTCTAATCATGAACTGAATGACATAAGTCTGTTTAGGATTGCACTGTAAATGAGGCTAATTTTGTTAGAATTTTTCTTTGTGGCCCCAGTGTGCAGGGTGGATGGGTACTGTGAAAAGAATGGAGACCATACCTTTTTGTAGATATAACAAGCCACAACTTTATTGTTTACAGCGGTAGAAGTTTGGTTCAGCATGGGGTGATGGATCCAAGACATCTAGTAACTCACCTGCCACTCAATGGAAACCCATCCCTCAGCCCATCTGTTGAGGGGAAAGAACCCTGGGATTGCTGGCAAATGGGAACACCTGGCCACAGGCCACAGTATGCTCCCCCTTTCACATGGGAGCAAGGACAGCCCAGCAACCTCTGAGCTTGGCATGCCTCCCTAAGCTCCCAAGGTCCCTTAAGGGGACCCTCAACTAGACATGCAATCTCCATCTTCAATCCAGCCCAATGCCAAAACCACCACTAGAGGTAGGTGCATTGCCGCACCTGCTTCCTGCTGAACCTCCCACAGCAGCAACCAGTCACAGAGACCTCCCTGCAGCCTGTGCAGCCACATTTCCTGCCACATTTTGAGAGAGGCACACCATCTGGCCTGAAGAGGGTCTTCTATCTGAATGAGATGTCCAGGTGCTGAATCATCTGGCCTACTGCTGTGATTACAACGTCACTTGCTGATCTTACTCCTTGGTGATCTTACTCCTGGCCACAACAGTCTTCTCACACTTGCAAGCACCACACCAGGTGCACCTCTCCAACAGATCTGATCAGAGGAGTAAAGTGGTGGGATATCAGGTCCATAGACGGTGTAGGTCAGCCTGAATCACCAGGGCCAGGCTTTTGTGAGAGGTGAGGCCATTCTCTCTGTGCTGGATGATGATAGTATCTGGAGGATCATAGTGGTTGACCTGATGCAAGATAGCCAGTACTAGCTCACTCCACCACATGCCATGGTGCTCAATCTTAGAGATGTGCAGGAAACTCTTTAACCCAAGCATCTGGCAGGGACGGGGAGATCTTGCACAGTCCTTCCAGCACCCAGTGGGCCACAAAGGATACAAAAGAATCAGGCCAGCCATGAGCTTTACTAAATAAGGAAATGACCACCAGATGGAATGGCCATTGTTTTAGGTGCCCATCCCAGCTCCCTTAGGTGCACCAAGTATTGTAGCGCCAAAGCCTCAGAAGGAGGCTGCAAAGGCTAGGAATCCTAAGGCCACATTTGGGTAGGAACGGAGAGCAGAAGTGGCAATGGGACTCAGTACTCCCTGCAATTATGAGCTACGTTCTCTTGTTAAGAATAAAAATAAGGAGCTAGTCTTTACGTGACCTTTGATATGTAAATTTTCTTCAAATAAGCAAATATTGTATTTTGAAGCAAGTTGTCAAGAAGTTTCAATGTGAACTAATCCAAGTAGGCCTACACTTGGTGAAGATTCCTTTGACTGCTGAGGTAGAGTGATATCATGACTGCAAAAATAAGGGTGTCTCTGTGCATCACTAATATTCCTTCATATAAGCTCAGATCAAGAGATGTGTGAAAAGTGAAGCTAGGTTGCAAGTGTAAATTCACACTGAATAATCACAACATACTACTACATTCCTTTAAGTGGAATTTTATTTTTGTATTTTAAAACCATTTCAAAAATTCATTCATACTAGACCAGTCATGCTATATTATTCAAGTGTCTCATTTGTATAGCTACATCCCATTGCCTTTCTAGAGTTCATTAGATAGATGGTCAGAGCTGCAGGGTAAGCCTCTCTTGTCATGCTACAGAAAAATAGATTTACACAAAATCCTTTAAGAATTCAGAAAAGCTATAGCTGCCTTAACTGTAAAACCATTTGAAATAGCAAGTGACAAAGCAAAGTCTAGGATTACTGTCCTGGTTATTTAATATCAGGTCATGCTATAAGTTATTTTAAAAAGAAATTTATTAAATTAAATGCTCAGCTAACTTATAAGGTTGTAATGGCAGAACTCTGTCTCAACACTGAACTGCCGTTGAATAGCCCAGTGATGATTTTTCTTGTTCACATGTTCAAGAAGACAAAAATAATGATTGTTAGGGAATTACACAATTTTAAGACTGACAATGAAGAAACGGAGATTGTTCAAGATTTCCTATTCCTTGGCTCCATCATCAACCAAAAGGGAGACTGCAACTAAAAAATTTAAAAAAAAGACTGAGAAGGGCACCCATGAAGCAGCTAGAAAAGATTCTTAAGTGTAAGGATGTGTCACTGGCAACCAAGAGCAGGATAATTCATGCCATAGTATTCCCCTTTACTATGGATGGGTGTGAAAGTTGGACAATGAAGAAAGCTGACAGAAAGAAAGTTGATTCATTTGAAATGTGGTGTTGTAGGAGAGTTTTATGGATACCATGGACTGCCATAAAGACAAATAAGTGGGTTCTAGCCTGAACTCTCCCTAGAAGCTAGAAGGACTACACTGAGGGTATCATACTTTAGTCACATTCTGAGAAGACAAGACTCACTGGAAAAGACAATTATTCTAGGAAAAGCTGAAGGCAGCAAGGAAAGAGGAAGGCCCAAAATGAGATGGATTGACTCAGCTAAGGAAGCTATGGCTCTCAGTTTGCAAGACCTGAGCAAGGCTGTTAACAGAAGGACATTTTGAGGTCATTAATTCATAGGGCCACCCTAAGTTTGGAATGACTTGATGGTGCTTAACACACACCTACACATGGAAAGCACTTACAAGCATGCTTCCTTCAGAATAAGTTCAATTGATTCCAAGGGGCTGCAATTTTCTGCACTGTACAAAAACCAGGATGGGAAATGGGAGAATGATTTTAATATCATCCCTTCAATATTTTTATTCAGACAAATGTCCACAGTAATTGTTAATATTCAGAACAAATGTGTGTCTTTTTCAGAAGCCAAAAAGTTGGAGTTTGGGGGTTCCATAATCAACTAAATTCCAAGAACATTGAATTGTTTTTTGTTTGTTTCTTTTCCACATCTGGGTATATGATCAGGTGAAATGTTAAGTAGAAATAACAGCCATATCACTCACTCATTTAAACTTTATTTATTCTGAATGCATCACCAGGATTCAGTTCAAGGTGCTGGTTCTTACCTTTAAAGCCCTATATGGCCAGGGCCCTAAAGAAGCCAGGCTAGCTACAACAAGGGCCGTGGCCTTTTCTGTGGCAGCCCCTTACTGGTGGAATGAGCTCATGGAAGACATTAGAGCCCTGCGGGACCTTTTGCAGTTTTGCAGGGCCTGGAAAACGGAGCTCTTCCACCAGGCTTTCAAACAGGGTGCCACCTTTAACATCATGGCCCTGGCCCAAACACCAACATCGTCACCAACCTGACAACCAACAGCCTGGCAGGGGCCTAGACCAAGGGGTAGGCGACCATTCAAATGTTGAGAGAATGCCACCATCTTTTATTAGATCTATGTTCTGAGTAGGTGTGGTTTTATATACTGTGATTTTAACTTAATTTTGTTTATGGCATATTTTTAACGTACATATTTATATGTATGATCTGTAAACTGCCCTGAGCCTGCTACAGCAGGGAGGGTGGGATAAAAATCTAACAAATGAATAAATTTTACAGCTCTGTTAAATGAAATCATGTGGATTTCAATCAGTGCAAAACATTAGCATTTGCACTTCATCAAGTTATAGCTAACTTTCTGGTTCTCTGTCTCTTGTTTCAACTGGACTGTGGAATCTTGTGAAAGTAACTTCCCTGCTTTGATTGTAGGAAACTGAATATAGGTTCAACAGTGTTGAAATTTGTAAATAGCTTCAAGACTGCTCACCTGTGGTGAATTTAAAGGCTATTTTTATTTTTATTTTCAATCGTCTTTTCCTGATGTTAATGGAGGCCTACTGAAATTAAGTCTATCCTTTCAACCTATTCTTTTAAAGCCAAATGTTCTCTTTTTATGTAGCTATTCATTAAGCAATGAAGTGAAATTGTTATGTTAATTTTAATTGGAACATTGGATAGAAGTCAACATAGAATTAATAGCAAGTACCTGTGCATTCATTTCTTCTGTTCTTCAATATTTCTCCAGGCAGACATGTAGAAATGCTTATACTATTTGAAACCAAACTGCATGGAATAATGTAATTTTTTCCTTCTTTTTTCCAGAACGGGCATGTTTGTTGTTCAGTGGATCCACAGTGCCTGCAGGAACTGTGAAGCTGATGACCACACATCACAGACAGTTTCTGGTTTAAGAATTTTAACTTTGCAAAAAGACTCATAGACCAAAAATTGTATGAAACCAAAACTGAAGCAAGATCAGTTTTTTCCCCCAATTAAAGTGCAGGCTGTAAGGTGGATGAGCTGTCAGTTTCCTCACTCTGAGTGAAACATGTAAGGCTGGGTGGGAACAAATTCAAATGCATAAACTCTGTGTTTGGATGTGAGGTTCAGCTTCTGGTTAATTTTGTATTTGACACCATTATGTAAGATAGCGGACTTGAGAAAATTGACATGTGCATAAAGATGTCAAAATCCTCAAGCAAACAGACAGTTCCTGGAGTATTGAGAATGCACCTCATCCATGACCACAGAGGGGGTTTTTTAGACCTAACCTACACTTTATTTGACTGCTCACTGCAAATTTGCCAGAAATCTGAAAAGGAGGGAAGATAATGCAGGAAATGCAGAACTTTGCAGCAACATATGTACAGCTCTGAGAAACTGATTCAAGTTATTGTAAAAAAAATTAATAATGCACAGGCATGACTACTTAGTGTTTTCTGGTGGGAAAAGTCATCTATATTTCCTCGTTTGACTGCACTTATTTCTTGATTGAATTTGTTCAGTATAAGCTCGTTCTTGTGCAAAATTTAAATAAATATTTCTCTTACCATACATTTGTGACTATCCATCAGTCTTGTGGATTATGGGATGCATTCATACTTGGGTTCTTTTCCTTTGTGAATACTGTTGTATGTTAAATGTTCCTACAGCACATTTATAACATATGGAGTACAAAAAATTGCCTCATGACGGAGTGAGCTCCAGTCTCTAGTTCCAGCTCCTGCCAACCTAGCAGTTTGAAAGCAAGAAACTGCAAGTAGATAAATAGGTACCACTTCGGTGGGAAGGTAACAGCGTCCCGTGCGCCTTGGTGTTTAGTCATGCCGGCCACATGACCACGGAAACTTCTTCGGACAGCGCTGGCTCTTCGGCTTTGAAACGGAGATGAGCACCGCAACCCTAGAGTCGGACTCGACTGGCTTTCGAGCAAGGGAACCTTTACCTTTACCTTACAAAAATATGGCTTTGCTATTGTGCTTTTCTCTACTGGTATCAATGGTCCTTGTGCAATGGAGTTTGTGTTGCAGTGGTATTCGGTGGCCAAGATCTAGATATCATCTGCATATTTCTGGATGGTTTCCTTCTCCCTTCCTCCTAATCTGCATTCTTTTAAAAGAAAGAACAGTACTCGAACGATTGTTGATGCTTTCTCCGGAAGATTTATTGTGCATTTTTGAGAATGGTCACTTAAGAAGGCTGTGAGAAACTTTATCAAAATTGAAAGCTTCCAGTGGGTTAACTTTTATGGACTTTTATTTATATGAAAGGCTCCCATGAAGCTGCAGTGCCTAGACAATGGCTTGGGGATGACAGGCCAGCTTAGATGACTTAAGTGCAGAAATCAAGCTAGCGAGTCATGGTTTGTTGTGTATGGTGTGTGGTGCTTTGCAGAGTACAAGAAGACAACAAGGAAGCAGAGAAGGAGGTAAATGGTAAGAAAATGTGCTCATTTCAGCAACATGTATGTAGTCCCCATCCCATATTAAAATTAAGCCTAAAGATAAAGATCTAAAAAGGTCAAGAAGAAATCATGTAACATTTATTCTGAAGCATAACAGCTATGAAGCTTTTCAATATAAATATATATAAAATTTCCTTCCTGGAGACTTTATCTATAAAAGATACTCAACGGATTTTCTGTTTCACCCACGGATTCTGTCAAGGAGCAATCAAGAAGAGAAGAAGAGATTGGATTTATACCCCGCCCTTCACTACCCAAAGGTGTCTCAGAGCGGCTTACAAACTCCTCCCCCTCCCCACAACAGACACCCTGTGAGGTAGGTGGGGCTGAGAGAGCTCTGACAGAAACTGCTATTTTTCAAGAACAGCTCTTGCCAGAACTACAGCTTGCCCAAGGTCATCCAGCCAGGTGCAGACGGTGGAGTGGGGAACCCGGTTCTCCCAGATTAGAGTCCGCGCACTTAACCACTACACCAAACTGGCTCTCAAGGTTGTTCAAGAAGTAATGCAGGCTTTTTGGGGGGAGGTGGTGTGTCAAATACAACCTTTCCTTAGTTGTAGATTTTCCAGGCTGTATGGCTGGGGTCTTGGCACTGTAGTACCTGTCATTTTGCCAGCAGTTGTTACTGGCATCCTCAGTGGTATAACACAGAAAGATGGAGTACTCTCAGGAAGGTGGGGTAGGGCTGAGTCACTATCTTGTAGGAGTTTCCCAGTCTGTGACATGCTAATGGAGGAGCTTTCCTGAGGAGGTTCTTTTGCATATGGATTGGCTGTTGAAATTGGTTGTCCAGCATTTCAGTGTCTTGGAATAAGATACGATGGCATAGCTTAACTCAAACAGGACACAGTAACTTATTCCAAGACACTGAAATGCTAGACAACACATCCAATTACCATGTCAAATTACACAGGAAAGCCATTAAAATTCATAAACATAAACAAAATTTCAACAGGAAGGAAGAGAGTTTAAAAATAAAGTTGGCATGGTTTCCAGTCCTGAAAAACACAAAATGCTCTAAATCTCACAACAGCACTATAGATAAGATTAGAATTTCAACAGCCAATCCATATGCAAAAGAACGTCCTCAGGAAAGCTCCTCCATTAGCATGTCACAGCCTGGGGAACTCCTTCAAGATAGTGACTCAGCCCTACCCCACCTTCCTAGGTAGATATAAATTACCTTTCTACCATTTTTCTTCTCACCTTGACACAGAGAGTACTCCATCTTTCTGTGTTATACTACTGAGGATGCCAGTCACAGCTGCTGGAGAAACATCAGGTACTACAATGCCAAGACCACAGCCATACAGCCAGGGAAATCTACAACAACTAATGAACTCCGGCCGTGAAAGCCTTTGACAACATACAGCCTTTCCTGTCTGCTAATAACTGTCAAGGGATCGATTTTTGCCTTTAGATACTCAAATGCAATGACCATTGCCTTCAGTGATAGTTGTGGATGACATGCAAATACCTAATTTGAAAGAAGCTGATACTGTTTAAAGACTCTGTTGTGGTTTTGTATTGGCTGTGTTCAGTAGACAGTGTAAGGTAAAATATGGGCTCATATTCTGGCTGGGAGAGGGAATAACCATACAAAGATATAGGTTCCAATAGAATTAACATCAAAATGATTTGGGAGCCATAATGATAGCTAACTATTGGATCTTTCCTAAATAGGCTTTGAATTGTGCTTTTTTTAAAAAATGAGAGGAACAGAATTTGAGTCAATGCACGTATTGCTTGGTTTAAAACCCTGAACTGAATAATACATACAAGAAGGGACTAGGAAAATATTTTTTAGGCCATCAGTGTTCAAGGTTTCAATTATATGGAAGCTCTTTAAAAAATCCAATACATTTCAGAGGTCGTCCCTTGACTCCCTGGCTCATCTGATCCTATGATTACTCAGAATCCTCTGAAATGATCACAGCTGTCCTTGATCCCATAGAATTTGAGGCTAAAGGCCTCATACAGAATGAAATATTTATTTGATTTAAACAAAAGCATCCCTTCAGGTATCTGAGTCATGTCATCATCAGAGAAATGTTTTAAATGAAGCTGGGTAATCTTCCATTGTTGAATTATTTTTCCCCAGCACTACATTTCAATGAATCCCAGAAAGAATTGCCACCTTTGGAGAGTAGCTGCCCTAGGCTTGCAGGAAGATCCAGTGCAATGTGTTCTGTGTGAATCAGACTGGCAAAGAATAGCATTTAGAGCTAGTCTGAATTATGTTCTTTATTTTAAATGAAACAATAATTGATGTATTAAGATTTCAAAGTGCGGAACAATGCCAGATGTTCTAGCATGATGGGAAATTTATGAACACAAAACCGAAAAAGATTGCTTCTTGTATTAAGGGAAATGAATATACGGTGTATGGACTCTTGAGAGTCCATCCCTCATATATGAGGGTGGTACAGATGTAAGAAGTTTGCCTGCTCTTCCATTGCACAGAGACTCATACTGGCTTGGTAAATGTCTAGACTGAGACACAGAGTTCCATTTCAAATTTGCTGATTCCAGATAGAGTGACTTTAAACATGCCACTTAAAGTGCTGCCCACTTTGATCTGACCCTCATGATTTTGGCTTTTCAATTGACTGGAAGGCAAAATGCTGCTGCCACGGTGAATGTAATTCACTGAGAAGAAAAAGAGAGGGAGGGTTGTTTTTTAATTACCTGCAAAGGGCCTGAATGTGGGTGATGACATATGTGGGTGTTTTATTTATTTATTATTTATTTAAATACATTTTAAAATCGCCCAATCCCCACAGTTGTGAGGCTCTAGGCGATGTACAAATTTAAGAACAATAAAGCCGTAAAATCATTATCAAAACATATAGTTCAGTAATTAAAAATCAAAAGGTGAAATTTTGTGATTCTCTCCCACTATACAGTCTTTGTTGCCTCATGGGTAGGGGGGGGGGGTTAGAGGTGTTAAAACCTGCAGGGGACAGAGATTCAGGAAGGGTGCCAGCCATAATGTAAGCCATTGCTGTCCTCAACCAAACGCCTGGTGGAACATCTCTTCCTTACAGGCCCTGCGGAATTGCATAACATCCTGCAGAGCCCTGATGTTATTTGGCAGAGAGATCCACTAGGTTGGGGTAAGGGCTGAGAAGGCCCTAGCCCTGGTTGAGGACAGCCAGATTTCTCTAGGGCTGGGGACCACCAGCAAGTTGTTCTGTGAAGAGCAGAGCGCTCTCCTGGGGGTATACCAGAGGAGGCGGTCCTGTAGATACATTGGTCCTAGACTGCTCAAGGCCATAAAGGTCAAAACCAAAACCTTGAACTTGACTTGGTGCTCCACTTGAAGCCAGTACAGCTGGCACAGCACTGGTCAAATATGTGCAGTCCACGGTGTCCCTGTCAGGAATCGCGCTGCTGCATTCTGGATCAGTTGTAGCTTCCAGGTCAGTCTCAAGGGCAGGCCAGCATACAGCAAGTTACAGTAGTCTAGCCTGGAGGTGACCATCACATGGATTACTGTGGCTAAGTGAGGGCATGAGAGGAAAGGGGCCAGCTGCCGAGCTTGGTGTAGATGGAAAAATGCCAGCATGGCTGTATGTGTGACGTAGGCTTCCATATTTAGGGAGGCATCCAGGATCACACCCAAGCTCCTGGCGGACTGCACCATAATCGGTGCTCCATCAAGAGCAGGTAATCCGAAACCAAGCCCTGAAGCTCCCTCCCCAGCCACAGAACCTCCATCTTTGTCAGATTCATTTTCAACCTGCTCTTTTTTAACCATCCCACCACGGCCTCCAAGCCCATGGCCAGATTTTATGGGGCTGCATCCGGATGACTGTCCAAAAGCAGATACAGCTGGGTGTCATCAGCATATTAGTGACACCCAAGCCCAAAATGTTGTGCTAGCTGGGGGGGGGGGGTGCATATAGATGCTGAACAACAGCGGGAATTAAGTGCCCCCGGAGGGACCCCACATTCCAGGGGGTATCTAAAGGACACATTGTCTACTAGTGCCACCCGCTGTTCTCAACCATGAAAGAATTAGGTAAGCCATTTAAGGGCTACCCTATGAACTCCCACGTTGGTGAGGTAGTGGTTCAAA